ATTCAGCAATAATAATAAGAATAATAATAGTAATAAAAGAAGTACTGATACATGAACACGCATGAACCTCATGAATATCACGGCTGAGTCAAAGAAGCCAGCAATCACCTGGAAAGGCAAATCTCCAGAGACAGAACACAGAACCTCGGATGCCTAGGGGCTGGGGCAAAGACTGCAAATAGGCACAAGGGAGGTTTTTGGGGTGACAGAAATGCTATAAAACTAGACTTTGGTGGTAATCGCACACCTCTATCAATGTGATTAAAAAATTGTTTAATTGTATGCTTACATGGAGTGACTTTTATGGTCTGTAACTTACACCTCAATAAAGCTCTCTAAAAAGCATACCTCGGTCGGGTGTTGGGTTCCTGCAGCAGCAAGTAGCTGAGGCTTCCCCAGGACCTACTCTGTGGCAGGCATTGCTCTTGGCCCCTACACCTGAGTTAATCTATCGATTCCTCCATCAGCCTTTCGGGGAGGGTGGTGGTATCCCCACTGCGCAGAAGCAGCAACAGGACAGGGAGGTTAGGAACCTGCCCGAGATCACAGAGAGTGGTGGTGGAGCCAGACTCCAGGCTCCAGTGCTTACGCATTCCTCAGCCAGTGTCTCTGGGATCAGGAATGGCTAGGCCAACAGCAGCTGTCCACTTCTCCAAACAGCAAACATTCCCCAAACGAGGGCCAACCCTGTCCCCTTTTCAGTGCCTCTTCCTCTTCCCCTGCAACCTGTCTCCACCACCACTCCTTGCTACCCTGGACTATCCGGATTCACTACCGGGCTTGTCCTTGCATCTAGAACACTTGCTGGGGAGTTCAAGATGGGCTCAGATAAGCCAGATTTCCTAGGAGCTGAAGCTGATTCCACAGTGGCTCTGGAGGTTAACTCCTTTTTCCCTCCATATTGCCGGAATGCTTTTCACATGAATTATACAGCTCTTTGCAAAATAATGTGAGCATAATCATTCTGTACATTTACAGGATCTTTACAGGAAGTACAGAAAATAGGAATGAGGGACATACGCATGGTTTTCAGAAAGCAACCTGAACATTGCCATTCCTTCAAAAGAACACGTTCTATACTCTCTGGCCTGAGGCAAATACCTAAATCTTTCCCAAGAAATGCATCATGAGAACCTTAACAGGCCTGGACACTCAGGTTAGGGAAGGATAATGCTCTTGATCTGAGATTACAAGGGATTTTTGCCCCAGTTCCTTCCCGGCTCCTGGAGAGAGCACTTCTCACAGAGTGCTGACTTGGAAGAGTACGCAACTCCAATCAACATTTCCAGTACAGCAAAGCAGTGGTGGTGTGTGCAGGGCAGGGGCATTGAGGGGAAAAAAGCAAGTGGTTTCCCTCAATCAGGACTCTTTCCCACTGGGTGAGGGAGCCTGGGATTGGCTGGGTATGAGGTAGATTTCCAGCGGTCAACCGCTCAACGGAACACTGAAGCCTGGGGCTTTCTCAACTGCTGTCAATTGGCTTCCCCTGGCTCCTGTGGCCTTGGGTGAGGATGATGGACAACCTTGAAAAGGTTCTGAGATAAAAGCTTCCTTGTTCCCCTTGCAGATCACACGGAAGACTCTGAAGGCAGAGATCAGCCTAATTAGGGCTACAGCGCTCCTACAGTTCCAGGGACGGGAAACTTGAGCTGCCACCAATCTTCAGAGCTCGAGGCTTTCCATTCACACCAGAAACACCCTTCACCCCAGTCTCCCTGCTCTTTGATGATATTCTAGCTGCAAAAATAACGAACACCCTGAGCTCTAAAGTACTGAGACCTGGAGAGAACTGTTAGAGGCTAAAGCCCCAACCTGTGACTCAATGGGGTCTTGACTTCCCACCTCCCCTCTAAAGTTGGGGGAACATTAGGGCTTCAACAAATCCCTCCAGGATTTGTGAGGCCTGGGATAAACTCAAAATCGGCCTCTTTCTGGCTGGTGTAGCAGCACCGAGAGAATGCTTAGTAGGAAATGCCCCCCACACAAGGTTCCTAGAAGGATCTTCCTAAAATACCAGTCTGAGAGTCTCACTGCCCTCATCCTGCATTAACACCCTTGAGCTTCCTGTTGTCCCACAGTCAAACCTGCATTTTTCGGCCGAGCCTCAGCATCTTCTCATGAAGTGTTTCCTCCTCTAGCCCTGTCTCTTACATCACATCTCTTAGGTGACAGTTAAATTTCCCCTAACTCACCATACTTTCTCTTTTTTCCCCCCAGGCCTTTACATCTTGATCTGTACGGTCCTTCTCATACCCCCTCAGGCTGCTGTCAGGGCTCAGCTTCCACAAAATGCTGCTGGACACACTCTCCCCAACTCTCCCCCTTCCCCGCTCTGCAGGCTGAGTGGTGCGATCCCTAAGCATCCCGGTGACATCACTGTTACAGGGCCCAACCCTATGGCGGTGGCATTGCCTGTGGGCCTGACTGGCTTCTCCGGGAGGCCCGAAGCTACCTGAGAACGGGGACTCGTCCCCTGACATCTTCCCGACCCCCCAGCCCAGTCCACAGTGCACTCCAGCTGACAGACATTTACCCAGTGGACGGGGGAATCAACCATAGCAGGCAAAAGAGAAAGCTCTGGATTTCTGAGAACTGTGGGCTCTGCAGGGGTCTGTGCTGAGGAGCTAGTGGGCAGCTCAGTTTTATTAGCATGTATCCCAAATCATAAAGTCCAAGATGAGCTTCCTGGCTCCTGGGACACATGAATGAAAAGTACGGGCACGTGCACACACTCTCCTTCAAATGGGAGTTACTGTGTACCTACTGTGTGTCGGGCATGGCGCTTGGGGTATGGGGGCGAATGGACCAGGGATGCTCCTGCATTATGGAGCATTGTGCCAGGTCACTGTGGGGAATGGCACCTTCCTGTTGGAAAGGAAAGCTGGTAATAGATTTATAGACAATGGGCCACATGAGAACTTTAAAGGACTGCCTGTGATTCAATAGTCTTCAGATAAACTTGATAAAGAGTCTTCTACGTGGTGGTGAGTAAGCATCTTCCCTGAGAGGAAGTGGAGACAGTTGAGGAGGAAGTGGGTTTCAGAAGCGGCTTTGGGGACCCTGGTACAATCTCAGCTCGATTCCTGTGATGGTGGTAAGAGGCAGGAGAGCTTAAAACTCCCTGCCAGAGGAGAAGCAGCAGCTCCTCTCGGCACCTGCAGGAAGGTGAATGAAGGCGGGAAGTCCAGCTCCACACACCGGCCCCCGCCTGCTAGGACATGCCTGCGCTCAGACCAAACCAGCATCGAACCCGGAATCCATGATGTGTGAGCCCACGACCGCAAATCTTGGTCCCCATCATCCAGAGCGTGGGGCTATTCCTGCGACCTCCCGGGATACTGTGAGCACTGAGTGAGACAACGCACTGGGACGTGTTCGGTACGCACTGCAGTGCAGTCGGCACCTAAAAGATTGCCCGGGTTAGGGTGCTGATGTGGTCACCATCAATCAAGGCACTACATAAAGACTGAATGAAGCGATGATTCAGATGCTTAGCTCTTGTGGTAAAGTCGGGTGAGTCATATTATATTGTATTATATGACATCACAATATAATTATACACTGTGATAGGATACATAATATCATCTATTAAGTAATCAACAATATCAGTTTGCATTTATGGAGCACTATGCGCCAGCCCTGTTCTATGCACTTCCTGCCCTAAGAGGTCTACTATTGCCCTTATTCTACAGGAGAGGAAACTAAGGCCCAGAGAGGCTGAGTAATGCACCCAAGTCATAAAACCAAAAAATTGTGAACTCAGATGGCAGGGCTGCAGAGCATGGCACCCAGAATATCAGACACGCCGCCCTGAAGCCTGTGCCCACTGCTCTCCCTCTCCAATAGCAGCATCCAGGACTGCCCAGGGCTCTCCAGCCTGTCGCCGCAAACCTTCCCTTGGAAACCTACCTGGGACCTCCGGTCTACACCTACTTACATTTTTAACACACCATTGCTATTTCAGCCTGCACAGTCCTCACCCCCTATTGTGTAAAGATCTTTTGATCATTCCAAGACACTCTGCTTTGCCTTTTAAGAGGAGACCCCTGTTCCTGAAATGTGGTCAAGGAGTTCATACTGCCCTGCCCACAGGGGTTCTGAATCTATTTGTAGCTCTGAGCTGCTTTTGAGGACTAAGGAAACAGAAGGATGCCAATGGTGCTCTTGGCCTTTACTGCCACGAGGATAAGCCAGAGTTTGCAAGCTCTGTTGGGGGCGGTGGACTCTTGGACCCCCCACCCCACTTTAGCACTGAAACCCTCCTTTTATCTGTTTTATGCTTAGCCTTCATGTAAAGTTTCATTTGAAAAGGGGTCGTGTTTGAAAAGATATTTGAACACCACTAAAAAGTCCTAACATATTTGGAATTATTGAACATGTATTAAAAGAATGCTTAGAAACCCCTGGTGTCAGCCCCTGCCGTTCTTAGGGTGAGAAACGAAGATCAGGCGGGATCAGTGAACCATCTCTGTCCCTCTCCCCACCCGAGTCCTCCTGATGTCCCTCCGAACCCATTCAGGGCACAGGTCTGATGGTTCAGGAGGGCTTTACCTTGACCATCCAGTCTCTCCCATTTAAAGTTTCCATTTTGACCTTCCACCATCATAAAGAACATTCTTTTTTTTATTTTTAAGATTGTATTTACTTATTAGAGAGAGAGAGAGAGAGAGTGAGCACAAGCAGGGGAAGCTGCAGAGGGAGAGGAAGAAGGCTCCCTGTTGAGCTCAATCCCAGAACTCTGGGATCATGACCTGAGCCAAAGGTAGATGCTTAACTGACTGGGCCACCCAGGTGCCCCCAAAAAGAACATTCTTAACCCAAGGACAGACTAAGTCCCTTGGGTGACCATGATAGTGCATGCTTCAAAATTCCATCAAGCCATTATCCAGCTTCTGGAGTCTTCCAAAGCAGGAAAATAACCACAGAAACACGGTGAGCTCTTAGCTGTTCATGAGAGCCCCCTGGGGTGATGGGCTCAAAGGACTTCTGAAGAGCCTTACCTGTTTTTCAATGAAAGCATTGATTCTCTGTAGCATTCCCTCACATGTGAATTCGTATGGCATGTATGGCTCAATCTGTGGAAAGAGAACATGGTATCATGAAAGAGGAGGACACAGAACCTAGGACACTTACCCAGTCCTCCCCTGATTCACGCACACTCAGGTGCCTCAAGAGGGGCTACGACTATGAACTCGGATGTCAACAGACCTGGGCTTACAAGCTCACTCTGTTCCTCACCAGCTGTGGGACCCTGAGCAAATCACCCACCATCTCTGAGCTTCAGGTTCTTCATGTGCCAAACGGAGAGAGGAAAAATCTACCTCTTTTAAGCTGTGGTGAAGGTTATGTGAAAAGAAAAAAAAAAAGTAAAGTGCTTAGTTTGGTGTCTAGAATACAGTAGGCATAACCCAAAAGGTGGGGAGTATCACCGGTTAGAGGTTAAGCTCCACAGGGCAGGCTCCATGGCCGCGGGGCTGTGGGGCTCACGGAGGAACGTAGCAAACACCTGCTGCATGGGTGTGTGCTCAATGTTATGAGAAGGGCACGGCATGAGTGGTTAAGGACCCAGGATGGTGACAAAAGCATTGGTCTGCACTTGTAGGTGAGGTTAGCACATACCTAAAGAACTTGTGGGGCAGAAACAGAGTCACAAAGTGCCACAAAGAGTTCAGCCAAGGGGCCCATGAGGCTATAAGGTCAAAGCAGACTTCCGCTCATGCTGGGCTTTTAAAGCCAGCTAGGATTCCAGCAAGCCAAGATGTGGAAGCCATTCCAGGTAGAGCGAGTAGTAGGAGGTGAGACAGGCGAGAAGAACAGCAGGTGGGTAGAGCTTGGGATTGCAAAGGCTGGAGAGACAAGCCTGGGAAGAGGTTCACCAGATTTACACAAAAGGATTTCTACACTAAGGAGCCCAAGCTTTATTTGAAGGCAGGAGAAAATCCCAGAAGGTGCTTCTCTGGGGTGGGGGAGGCAATGTGATCACTGTTTGGACACCTGGGGAAGGAGAAGACATGTGGGTTTGATCTCTGCTGCACAGTGTGTGTGCCAACACTATGAAGCTTGTGTTTTGGGGGCATCCAGCAAGCATTACCAATCCGAAATGGAAATTTTACTTTTGCACTTGGGACAAAATCATTAGCAATCCAGTCTGACAGCTTCAGAGAGCCCAAGAGCACCTGGGAGCAGTAAGATAGAGGGCCGCCGCTTAGGCCTACACTTGCCGATCTCAGATTTACAGGGTGGAGAGCTGGAGAGAACACCTGTGAGTTGAGGTCTGTGGAAAATGGGACAGTTGACAGAGAAGTCATCCTCCCGTGGGCAGCCAAGCAGCTGGGCACAGGGCACCCTCTCCCCTTTTTTTGTGTCGATTCACACATTACACGTGAACTCTTCTTTAACCATGACTATAAATTTCATAATATATCTTCAAGTCCACAATCAGATAATGCATCACACAGGTTTTATCTCAGCCATCCCTGCCTACATCCGCCCCGAGAGAGCTAAAAGAGGCTGAGCCATAAGTCTGATACTATCGGGGCAGGACTACTCTGCCAGAACACAGGTCATCTTGTTCCTCAATAGATCACCTCAGAAGAGCTCAAAATACTTAGAAAACTGACTTCAATGTTGCATGCCTGCTCCTTCTCACCTCAAGCTTTTGCACATGCTGTGCCCTTTCCAACCCAGACATAGCTCTTCAGCCCAAGGGCAAAATTTTTCTTTCCTTTCAAAGGATATTTATTTACTCAACCTGTGGGTGATTCCAGCGGCTTACTAGGACTGGCCTACAGATAGGTCTCCTCTCAAAGGTTCACAGAAGGAACAGAAAGAAACCACAACAGAGGACTTGGCATATCAGGCTCATTTACGTGGTGACAAGTAGAATTTCTGGAGTGAAATAACCATTGGTGGCCATCTGTCACAACATCAACAGATCCAGTTATGTGGTAGGAAGGAGGCTGAATATTCAGGGGCCATTCCTACAACTTATTACAAAGGGCATCCTTTAGAAATTCTTTAGAAATGGAAATGAATTATCTGAAAGGGCAATCAATTATTTCAAATGCAATAAATACAGAAAAATGGCTCTTCCTTGTGTTCTCCTACCAACTAAACCCAATTTAACCAAAGGGATGCTGACTCATTAATTGCTTGGTGGCCTGTTCACTGTTTTAAATAACATGAAGCCAAATGATTTTCCGATAAAGGAAAAGCAAACCAAAAAAATAAAAAAGGTAATTGTATTCTTAAACCACCCCTGCCAATGGGTTCCACTAGCCATCCTGCTGTGGACAGGAACAGGGCCCTTTGTGTGGGAAAGTTCTCCAGACTCCTGGCTTTGGATACAAAAGAACCTTGGCAAGCCTCTGAGGCAGGAGCTATTGTGGGGACTGGGGCAGGACGCCTGGGATAATTTTCTGCCTGATAATCCTTCAGGAACAAGTCAAGGCCTCCCTATGGGATGGAATGAAAGGGAGTGCTAGGAGCACATCCAGTTCGGGAGAAACCCAAGTGGGGCCCGTGGTGGAGCAACAGGGAGAAGGACAGCTACTCACGTGGCCACAGGAAGGAAGCCTGTAGGCTACACTGTGTACTTCCTGCTGGCCCTGGAAACCTTCCATTATCTTCCCACCTTTTCCTTCCTTTTTTCTTAATCTCCCTTCTTGTGAGATGTCCTGTCTCTTCTAGTACCCACTCACGGCTCTAAGTCCTAGTACATTCCTACAGGGAACTAATCTCAGAGATCAGCTGACCCTGGACAGAGGTGGCTTGGCACCACTCAATGAGAGGTGGTCTTAGAAGGTACCAGAAGACCAGAAGTTGGGTCCTGACTATCTCCTCTACTAACCAGAGGATTTTAAGTCAGACATATTCTGCAATTTCTCTTGATGATTTCAAATGTAAACTAGGTCATACCATTCCCCTGCTCAAAACTTCCCGTCGTACTTAAAATAAAAATCCAGAATTCTTAGCATGACCTGTTTTAAAGACCCTACACATTCTGCCTCCAAGGGATCTTTTTTATGGTCTCCATTATTTCTGATGAGAAGTTGGAGGTCTTTCATACTGTTATCCCCCTAAGTGTAATAAATTTTTCGCTGGCTGCTTTCAAGATTTTTTCCCCTAATTTTTTGTTTTCAGCAGTTTGCCAATGATGTATATTTGTTTTTCTTCATATTCATCTTGCTTGGAGTTCACTGAGCTCCCAGGATCTGCAGGTTGATGTCATTCATTTCAGAAAATTCTTAACCATTATCTTTTCAAATATGTCTTCTGACTATCCACTCCTCCTTCTGAGATTCCAATTATACATAAATTAGGCTGTTTGATATTGTCCCATAAGTCTCATATGTTTTTTCTTAATTTCATTCTTTTTTCTCCTTTTGTTTCAATTTGGAAAATTTCTCTTGATAAGTCAGTATCTTGATAAGATATTGATAAATTCACTGATATTTTCCTCTGCTGTGTACACTCTGCTGATAAGGCCACTGAAAGAGTTCTTCATTTCCAATTATTTTTTCAGTTCTAGCATTTTCTCCTTTGGTTTTGAGAAAAAGTTTTGAGCTTTCTATTGAAATTCTCCATCTGTTCACATATACTGTCCACCTTTTTCACCAAACCTTCTAATATATTTATCTGAGCATTTTGAAGTTGCTTTCTAATAAATTCCAACACATCTGGGCCATCCCTCGGTCTGGTTTTAATGACTGCTTCCTCTCTTAATGGTGGGTCATTATACCTTGCCTTTTTGAGTGTCATGTAATTTAAAATCCTGTAATTAAACATAAGAAAGCCTGGAACTAAATTTCTGACCCATTTCTAACAAGCGTAAGGATTTTAATGACAATAGTTTTTGTATTAATCTCATTACTTACTTCACCTCTCATTCCCACTCATACCTTTCCCTTTACTTCTTTCCATATTTCTTTCTTTTCCTTTCTAAGTTTTATATTATCTTAACACACTAGTCAAAAAGACCTAGGCTTCAATCCAGGTTTTACTACTTACTAGCTGTGTGATCTTGGGTAAATTACTTAATTTCTTTAAACCTCAATCTTTTTATCTATAGAAGAATTATGTGAGATAACGATTAAATGAGATAAGGCTCGTAACGATTAAATGAGATAAGGCTCATAAAGATATAGAGATTCTAGATGTGTAGAAAGAGGTTCTCTCTACATAAGAGCTACTATTATAATTACTTTTTTTCTCACGTGGTCTTGAATAATTTTTGGAATAAGGTGGATAAAGGTCGATCAGAGTTTTAAAATGTAGAGCACTAGAGGTTCCATGGAGTGAAGAGAGTCTGTCTCATGTAGCAATGAGCAAATACAACTCAGTGCCTCACTCTGTGCTTTCTGTATCAAGCATTCCCATTAGATTTTTGTTTGACAAAAGGGATCTATCACCTAAAAAGTTTTGTACTCCATGATCCAAGATTTTCTGCCTCTACGTTACCTTTTAAATTACTTATTTTTCAAGGGTATGTGCACTTAACCAAGTGTTGTGGGTTGAATTTATGTCCCTCAAAAAGAAAATGCACAAGTTCAAACTCTCAGTAGCTATAAATGTGACCTCATTCGGAAATAGGGTCTTTGCAGATGTAATCAAGTTAAGATGAGGTCCCAATTAGACTGGGCCCTAATCCAGTGTGACTGATATCCTTCTAAGAATGGAAAAGACAGACACACACACACACACACACACAGGTCAAGGTGCTGCAGCTGCAAGTCAAGGAAAGCCTGGGGCCACCAGAAGATACAAGAGGCAAGGAAGAATCCCCCACTACAGGCTTTGGAGGGAGCATGGTCCTGCCGACCTCCTAATTTTGGACTTCTAGTCCCTGAAACTGTGAGAGAATAAATTTCTCTTGTTAAAGCCACCAAGTTTGTGGTTCTTTGTTATGGTAGTCCTGAGAAACTAATAACCCTAAGGGACCCAGGGACTCAAGAAAGAAAGACAGAACCATCAGCCTCCAAAGGAATGACTCTCTGGTGGTGAAGCTCTGGCTGTGTGGCAGATATTCTGAGGCAACCCAGTGGGGCCACACTCTACTCAGCCTCTTCCCCTTTACTCACACTGTGCCTTGAACCCATGTCCTTCTGGGTCCACTTCTCAGTTCAGCTTGGCAAATTCCCTACTCTTCCTAAAAGACTTAACCCGGTGCTGCACTTTCCAGAAAGCTTCCCCCAACGTCCACTTCTCCATCTTTTGCATGTTGTTGTTGGCACTGAACACATTCGGCAAGTACTTATCCCTCCCTCTCTCAATCCATTAGGTGAATCACTATGCTGGGTACAGAGTACAGCAGTGAGAGAGACATATTTCCAGCCCTCATGTGGCTGACAGTCTAGTGTAAATCCAGACTGTTGATCACAAAAATAAGAATATTATATCTGTAATACTAATAATGACTTAATAAAAACAACTAAACACTCACTATGTGGTAGATTTCCACTTAAGGGCTTTATATTCATTATCTCATTGACTCTTTCCAAATACCTATATAGTAGGTACTACTACTTAAAGAGAAGAAGAAACTAAGACTCAGAGGTTAAGTAACTGCCTGAGGGGACGCTACTAGTAGGTGGTAGGGCTGGAACCCCAACCCCAAGCGAATTGCAGCCCGTACTCCTTACAACCATGCCTATGCTGCCTCTCCTAAATAACTGTTAACAGAGTATCGTGTTCTAGTAGGAGGAGTACAGAGAGCAGAATGCACCCAATAGTGTGGAAGGCAGTCGGGTGGGTTGGGAGAGGTTAACTTGGTCCATCCGCACTGGGCAGTAAGCCTCCTACAGGCTGGGAGCCAGCCTCAATTATGTTTATGGAAGTGAGTGTCCCCTAAAGTGGCTCAGAGGGTGCTCTGCCTACAGTAGGTACTTAATAAATGTCTGCTAACTTGATCAGGAGAATCCAGAGATGTCAGTTACTTATAAATACAAAATTCCATTAAGATGTTTATGTAAAAAAAAAGTAAAATGAATAAACGCTATATAAAAACATTTCCCAGTATTTCCTTAATAGCTCCTAACATTCTTACTTTTTGGTAGGGGAACAGGTTTGTGTTTTCTGATCTCTGTGAGAGCGACCATCATTAAGCAGTGAAACAAATGTAATTCAACCTCCTACTATTGTATCTGGGACCCAGCCGTCATGCCAAAATGTTCTGGAGAATCCACGCACACAGGGGCACCGGCTCTGTTCCCACCCTCCAGTGCACCCATGAACCCTCCCTAGGCCAAATCCTACGCTGTGGCTCTTTTCTAATCTCAGAGTTAAGCTGATGTGGAAATGTTCTAATCATTCGACCAGAGGGCCTGTGAGGCTTTCCACACATTTCAGTTCACAGTACAGATGGGGAAAAACGGAAAAAAAGACACAACCTTCTGACTTAAAATTGCTTTCACAGCATCTCCCACTTCCTCCTGATTGCTGAGGTCAACCGTCCAAACGTGGGGCTGGCCGATGAAAACTTCAGCATAAGGATGCTGGGATGTCAGCTGGAAGAGAAAGACAAAGCAGCTCAGTCTCACAATTTTTTTTTTTTTTAAGCCTTCTGTGCTAGATGAAGCGTTATGCTTTTTATGGCATTGTATTTGCGTAGCTAACAAGACATTTTTGTCCTTCCTTGATGATCAAAACCTCCTGACGACCTGCAAGTTGAGAACAATAAAAGAGTGAGAGCTCCACATCTTGAATCCCACTTGGAAATGTCAAAACTGGGTGCCACAGTGGCTGTTACGGGTGGCTCCGACCCCCAAAACTGCGCCAAGATACAATGGAACAGTTAACTCTTGGTCATATCCCAGCCCTGAAAATCACCTTGGTCAAACTAGTATCTGTTACAAGACACAGATTAGGACACACAGGTAAGCATGAGAAAATTATAATAAAGCCAAAAGCTTTAAAGTCATAGGAAGATGAGTAATGACACATGAAATGTGAAGAAAGAGAAATAAGACTACCAGAAAAACAGAAAATTTTGGAATGGTTTCAGGACGAATCATTAGCATCATGTTGGAACCTTAATACCGATAAAAACAATTTGGAGTCAGCAAAGCTCTAAATTCGGAGGTTTTATTTTAAGAACAAAGGGTCCAAAGAAACCCAGGATGAAAGCTGGTGATTCTCCATTCCTGAAGGGTCCTTCCTTTGATAGCTAAATTTACCACCCAAACTGGCTTCCACCTTTATGCTTGTGTCCCTTTCAGGGAGTAATGGGAAGGGAGCTTTCTGGACATTCGTGAGAGCATTTTCAGTTCTGCCAAAGACTGGGGGTGCTGCCTTGAGCTGCGCCCAAACCTATGACTGAGGACCAGGGGTTGCAGATGGCTCACGAGGCGCTACAGTCCTGCACGAGGTGGGCCGTCTGCTCCCCATTCAGCTTCCACCTGCCCCGCAGGGCTTCCACGTGGGTCACAGAATCCAACTCTTTGGCACAGTTTTGATAGACATTCAGTTTCCCAGGAATGTAATTACCATGTAAATCAAGGGATGTTTGTACTCTGTTTTCTTAGGAACTTCATCCATAAGCTGTTAACCGCTTTGGAAAAATCAGGGCAGCCGAGTCAATGTCACTCAGATGAGGCGAGTCTCCATTACAACATACCCAAATCGGTCTGTATTTGTAGCTCTCACATTAATGGCAATCGTATATGTATGTATACATATATAGATGTATAGGCACTCTTTAACTTAGCTTCTTTTTTATAATATCACATATAAGCAACAATAAGCCCTTACCAAATAAGGGCTAACCATATTCAGCTGAATGTTTTATTCTTAAGTACAAGCTTACTCATTGTAAGGAGGAATGAGACATGTTTTCTACTACAGTTCTTGGGTATGGCATAATATTCCTTGACTATATATACATACCGAAATATGTATTTCCTTATTGCAAATTATTTTCCTTTATGTTAGAGCTAGGGAATCATTTTTTTTTTTTTTGAAATTACATATGTAGGCAGGATATATTATTTATGAATTTTATTTCAGGACAGAAAAGTAGATCTTACAATATATTTGTGGGAGAAATACAGGTGTTGGGTCTGGTAGGGTTGAGGCTGTTTCTTTAGAGGTGAAGCTGGTTCTCTTTTTCTTCAGACTCCAGTATACACAGAGGATGGGATGATTTAACCAGCCTCTCTCCATCTCACTCCGAGCCACCATTCTTCGTATCCTACCTCACCAACTGTGTGCGTGCAATACTTAGGGCAGGAAACCCAGAGTTTAAGTTACTGGGCCTCAGCTCCCAGCTGTCATTGGTACCCTCTCTCATGAAAATCATGATTCTCTCTCTCTCTTTTTGAAGAGTTATTTGAGGGGGGGAGGGGCAGAGGGAGAGAGAAACTCTTAAGCAGACTGGCTGCTGAGTGTGGAGCCTGACGCATGGCTCGATCCCAGGACCCTGAGATCATGACCTGAGCTGAACTCAAGGGCCAGACGCTTAACTGACTGAGCCACCCAGGCGCCCCTGGAAATCATGATTCTGAGGAGAAAATATCCTAGACTTTGCTCCTGCCTCCTCTGCCAGAATTACGCCCCTCGCTGGCCTGTTCAGTTCCCCATTCTTCTGACACGTACACCCTCTTCCTTTGCTCAGCCACGTGTTCAGTGATAGAACCTACAGAGGGACCACAGCCCCTCATGGAGCTGGGGAAGCACCCTTTTCTCTTTTTTTTCCTCTCAGCACACGTTTTAGATTCAACACACATCACTGAAGCCCCTGGCTGGCTCAGGCACTGTGCTGATGAACCACATATTCATTATTTATCACGTTTCTAGTGTATCAATCAGGATTTTGAGATTTACAGGGGTTTACAATTCTGCAAGACCACACAGCCAGGAAGTGGCAGAGCAAATTCAAATTGAGGTCCTTCAACAACGCATTAGCTTTGGATGGAAAGGAAGATGACAATTTTACAGTACCTACAGGGTTCTTAAGACAAAGGCAAAAAGAAGCCCGAAGTAAACTCCAGTCTTTTAATCATGCTCCTAAAACTTGCCAAACTAAAAAAAAAAAAATCCCAGGATTGAATTTATGCCTGCAGTAGAGCTTTTCTGAAGATGAGCAAAATGTCACTCCGTTTTCACTTGGTGGCCTGGAGAACAAACTGATTCAATCTTCCAGTGGAATCAGGGGGTATATTAAAGTTGCCATCAATGTCACTATGCAGCCACTTACAAATTGGCAGTCTCCCTCCCCTCCCCTTTATAAGGTCCTTGCTTATTTGCAAGGTTGCTCTAAGCCCTTGGAAAATACAGAATGCCGAGCCATTATCATTTTATTCATTTACATTTACTGAGGGTTACTTAATTTTAACGAGTAAGGCATTTTGTAATTCATTATTTCCCCTCTGAATGTTATGCTCCTCCCTGTTAATTTATTGAGAACCATCTGATCTGAGCTACTTCACTGTATATCAATCAGTAAACTTACTGGAGTATAGTTTGTAAAAGTAATGAAAATCTTATTAAATATGAGACATTACTACAGAGCGGCTATTAAATTTCTAAGGAGAACCTGAGTTCTCTTTATGGAAAAAAACCCTGTAGCCAGAGAATTTCTAATGGTTTACAAAATGTCCAAATACTGGTTAAGAACCTACTAATGTGTTTCCCAATATAAAGATAAAAATCCAATTTATATCACATTGAAAGTATAACCTGAACCGACCACATTACTTAAGGCATATGGGACTTTTTCCCTTGAGTATACATCGTGGTTTTAAAAATTGGTCCAATGTAAAAGACAAAAATAAGACAAAACTATCATGTAGAAATTTAGACTTTTTGTCTCCAAGGCAAAGAAGGGACATATATGCAATTTATACAGATTGATTTATATGGATCAATTGTTGCTCAACCGGAAAAACTAGCAAGGGCACAAAAAATAGCTTTGTAATTATGTCCACTTTGCTTAAAATTTTTCCATTTGCAGAATAAAAAAAAGAATAATTGATTTCTAGGGATTTTTGACCCTTGGGCTTCTAAAGGACTGTTGATAGCACTCTCCCAATGAAAAGCGGCTTTGGTTAGGGGGATTTTGTGGCTTTTGTGGGCTGAAAAAGCAGAGTGGGTGGCCCACCTGGCCTTGAGGTCAAGTTCACTGGGTCCTCCCAAAGCTGGCTCCCAGCCTGCTCTCTGCACTGTCTCCCGCCGAGAAGGAGACAGACATCAGATGGAACCTGCCCTCCTGCATAAAGCAGAGTGACCTTCTCGGGATTTCCCTCCAACTCGTCAACATTCATGCCTTTTAAGCTTGAACCCCACCCCCATGTGCTCCTTTCCCTTTATAGCACAGCTCTGCCACCATCCCCCTTTCAGTTAACCCAGCACATTCTCCACCTGGCACAATTCCAGGTTGACACTCCCTCCTCGACTGACTTCGCTATTTCTTTCTGTATCAAAACCTGAGCTCCTGGAAAACAGGAAATGGGTCTTGGTAAGTTTCCCCAGTGCAGCAGCTAGTACCCTGGACCCTGTTGGGGACACAGCGCACATCTGTCAACTGACCTTCGGCATCCCAGCCCTCCTGTGGGAGCCCAGGACTGATGGAGTCATCCGTGTGAGGTCACTTTCAGAGCAACTGAGAGGACCCCACAGTGTCATTCTAACTAGAGTCCCATTTAAACACAGGCAGAATCATCTGAGGGGATGGGAGGAACCAAGCACCCAGGGGGAGCAGCTCTAACGCCTATTCTCTTCTTATGCCATGAAGAATGAAAAGCCTCCACCACCTCACTGCGAAGCACATTACTAAGTGATGACAATGGACAGGAAATGATGAAAATCCTTTCCTCAATAACTTAGCACTGGCTGGTCTGATCTCAGTGACATTACAGCACTCACTGGGAAATGGACTGTGTATGAGGGTCCTCATTTTCTTTTTTTTTTTTTCAGGAAAAAATAGTTGTAACAAAGCGTCATCAAAATCTTTAGAATTACTAATAAAAAAAGGTGCCAGTTGCCAATGTAGTCTAAGATACTTTTGACTGATCATTTCCCAAAGGCTTATAGAAACAGCAATGAGAAAAGACAGGTTTCTTAGCTCTTCACGTATTCAAAAAAATCACAATGAGGGGGGAACCCACCATTAGAACTACCATAATAACTGTTGTAGGCAAGATCCGCCGACACATGGTAAAAATAAATGGGCAAAAGTTTGAAGAGAACCAGAACTATTTTCATAGTTTCGAAATATTTTTTCCAATATAGAGAAAAATAGTAACTTTATAGTGAAGAAACCCAGCAGGCACTACCTGAACCAGTAATTAAGAGTGCTATCATGCCCCCCCCCCCAGATACGACACACTGAGAAGGCCATACCACTTCTGTGACGTTCTTGCTAAAAACGCATCATCTCAAACTAACCTTTAGACAACATCCATCAAATCCAAAGTGGGCAAGGGCCTACAAAAAGGCCAACTGGGACTCTTTCAAAGTGTCACGGTCGTGAAGGACTGAAGAAGTGTCACAGACTGGAGGAGATTAAGGAGACACGGCAGGTAGATGCAATGTGGGGTCCTGGACTGGATCTCAGAACCGCAGAAGGATGTTAGTGGAAAAAAATGGCCAAGTCCAATTAGACTGTAGTTTAGACAACACTGTGATATCAGGGTTCATTTCTTAGTTTTGATAATTGTACTGTAGCTTTGTAATGTGTTACCATCAGAGGAAGCTGGATGAAGGTGTTAAACACAAACTCTGTACTCTCTCTGCAACTTTTCCCTAAGACTAAAACTATTTCAAAATAAATAAAAAGTAAATTCCAGTAACTCCACTTGTACATAGAACGAAAAGCAAGAACCCAAGTAGATACTTGTACACAAATGTTCACAGCAGCATTATTCACGAGAGAGAAAGTGGAAACAACCCAAGTGTTTGTTAACAGATGAACAAATAAATAGAATGTGGTGTATTTATAGAACGGAATATTATCCAGGCCTCTACAAGGAATGAGATTCTGACACAGGCTATGAACTTTGACAACATTATGCTAAGAGCAACAAGCCAGTCATGAAAGAATACTGTCTGATTTCACTTGCATTAGGCACCTTCTAGAAAAGGTAAATTTAGAGAGAATATAGGTGAGCGGTTACCGGGGGTTGTGGCTCCGGAGGGGAGAATGGGGAGTTCGTGTTTAATGAACACAGTTTCTGTTTCGAACGATGACTAAGTTCTGGAGGTGGGTGGTGGTTATGGTTGCACAAGACTGGGAATATACTTAATACCAGTGAACCATACACTTAAAATAGTTAAAATGCTAAGTTTTCAATTATGTATATTTATCACAATAGAAGTAAAAAAAAAAAAGAAAATTATAAATAATTATTCCAATGTGGGCAGAAAAACTTGAGATTTCTTACACCGAACTTAAAATGTAGGGATGATTTATTGACCCAAATTTTCTATCCTAAACTCTATCCTAAAAGTTTCAAAGAAGTCAGGCACACGGTAGAGCAGAGATTCCTAAACTGAGATGTTCTCATTGCTGGGGAGCGTCTCTTCAGATCATTCCAAAGAATAAGCTGTTCGGTGCCAGGCTGAACACTCCTGATCTGTGTACTGGCACCTCCCCCAACACCTGGCACACAGGTGTGCATTAAGAATTGCTGAGGAACGACTTCGGGGCGCCTGGGTGGCTCGGTCGTTAAGCGTCTGCCTTCGGCTCAGGTCATGGATCTCAGGGTCCTGGGATCGAGCCCCGCACCGGGCTCCCTGCTCCGCGGGAAGCCTGCTTCTCCCTCTCCCACTCCCCCTGCTTGTGTTCCTGCTCTTGCTTTGTCTCTGTCAAATAAATAAATAAAATCTTAAAAAAAAAAAAAAAAGAATTGCTGAGGAACGGCTCCCTGTAAGGAAGAATTCCAACGTACTGTATTGAGCAGAAGGAAAAGCAAGCGTACAAGTCAACACACACACAGTTACCCCCTGTCAGAGGCTGTATGGGCCACAGACTGTCCTTTCTGAAAGGATTATCTATGGATCTCAATCCTCTTCCTCCACCTCCTTTGGCCCTTTCTCCAGTGGTCAGAAAAAAGCATTCTCAAAATAATAAGCTCCGTGAATTGGTAAGATCTCTGATCAGTGAGAAATGATCATTTGGGGGAGGGGGCGTTCAGTCGACCCAGAAAGGTTTAAAAGTAGCAGAAATGAAAACCGTGTGCTTTAAACACAGTGCTGCTATACTGCAGCTACATTATGGGGGTCCACCCGGGTCGTCCCCCAGGGGAAGGCCCCGAATGACAGGGGCGCTACCAGGACTCCAGCTTGGAGAGGCTTCCTCCTTGGGAGCAGCCCACAGAGCCACAGAAATAAGATGATCAAGCTTATGGTTTCTTGCACACACCTGTTTCTGACTAGATACAGAAACACCACCTTGATCACCCACATGCTCTAAATGACTTGTTGATTGCCCCAAATCGAATCCAACTGCCTTCAGTGGTGATTCATCACCTGCTGTGGATTTTTTAAGAGGATCTCTGAAAGCAATTCAAATAAGGCTTCTGCCAACAGTTCGAGCAATGGCAGGATTAGTTCTCAGGATGGTGCCCGAGGACGGAGGCCGAAAATGCCAGGCACGTGACTTCAGTTGCCCATCATCTGTCTTGTCTCTCGGGGTTGACAGCGAAGGACCCCCACGACACACTCTTATTCCCCACAGCCCATCGTGGAGAGCACATTCCTCAAAAATGCCTGTTAGCCAGTGGATTTCCTTATTCCATAAACTCTAGACATTCAAAAAGTCAGAGCTCAGCCACTGAGAAGGCTGGAGAGGTCTGTGTGAATTAGGGTAGAGCTGAGGCAGAGTGAAAAGATGCCATAGTTCGGAGAGGGGCAGAAGTAGATGCAAGTCTTGGCTGTGCCACCACCTGGTTAGGACAGGGCATCAGCCATTCCTCCTTGAGCCCCTGCCCAACCCCTCTTCCACCCAGCTATGTTAAATGATGGTGACGATACCTACTGTCCGAGGCTATGAGGTTTGAACAGGCTCCTAGCCTTCAGTAAGTAGCTAGTATTCATACTGTTAAAAGAAGGATTTTTTTATAGATGCTTACCTCTCTCAGAGTTGGCTTGCCAATGAAAAAGTCCGTGTTTTTGCTGCTTTTGGGTGGACTGAACTTGGGATTCAGAAAAGCACATCCATTTGCAATGGCCTCCAGGGGAGCTGGGCCCTCATAAGGGAACCCGAGTCCAACAAACAACTGTAAGACAGAAAAGCACACCATATATAAACACATCAATCAGGACTGGTGTCCCTGGCTCACAGGGGGCTATTCTGTGCTTCATTCCCATGTGGAAGCCTCAGAGACTCTGGAAGGTTCCCAGACCCTGGCGGGGGCGGGGGGGTGAAGAGAAAGCAGCTCACATCAGGGGCTGAGAAACAGGACCGGGGACCTTTACAGGCCCAGGAAGCTGCTCAGCTCATTATGTTCTCCTCTGCAAAAAAAAAAAAAAAAAAAAGTAAAGAAATGAGTGTGGGGACTGGGGGAGGGGTGAGCAGTTGAGGGGGTAGGGACGCGGCGGTATTAAAAGAATAAAAAACAACAACAAAAACCAAGACCCAACAATAATCTTTCTGTAACTCAACAGGAGACATGACTGGAAAAACACTTGCTTAACTAAACAGAAGGTTTCTTCACTGAACCAAAGGAACAACAGGCCCTTTCAGGGATGCTGGGCAGGGGGACAGAAAGGTCACTTGGTGGTTTGATTACAGTTCAAATGGAGCTGCTTTAAAACGATGGTAGGTCAGTAAACACAGGTTTTCATAATGGGGTTTTCACTGGGGGACACCAACAACTTTGTTTTTATCTCCCCCTCAGTGGAGGGGAGAGGGTGCTGAGTGGCTCCACCGGTCAGGCGGCTTCCCTCCTCGGCAAGCACACCACGCGCGTTCCCCAGGGCAGACGGTAGATGGCAGCCAAAACACACTCTCCAAGTCCTCCTGCAAACCCAAGCTCCGAGCTGCTGGGACAAAGGGGCCTTGCTGCTGCTCACTGGCAATCATTTCTGGGTCCGAAACCGAAACAGCATCTCAGGGAAATGCCTCAGTGCAGCTCTTCCCCTGGGGACCCTTCACAGTGCTGGAGGGCTGGAAGCCATCGATGGCAGGGTCCAAGTCTGGCCTTGGGGAGGTGTGAGATCTCCCTACCGCACCAAGGAGCCAAGGCTGAGATCACTCAGCCTCAGGAGACATATCCATCACCAAAGGATAACGGGGCCCCACGGCCCCGTTCCCTTCTGCCATCACGCTGAGGAACACCCATGCAGCCAGGCCCCGAGAGTGAAGGATATTGGCGAAGTGGATACACGGCAGGCCTGATTCTCCTTTCCTGGGGACCTCTCCCCAGCGATTCTGTCTTTGAGGCTGCTTAAATGGAACGCTTACTTAGCATGCTTCCATGTGGAGAGACCTGAGTCCCAGCTGCCGGGTTCCCTGGGCACCACTGACAGACGCAGGAAGTTTGTGCTGGGCACTCAGTTTCGGGACTGAACACTGAGCATGGCCCACACTGGACATAGTGTAGCCCCCACAGGGATTTTTCCGGGACAAGAAACAAAAACCCCAGGTTTTTGAACTGTATGTTCTTTTGCACAAAACAGGGCACTTAACCTTTGTTTGTTTCAGAGGAATAACCTTTCATTTCCTGTAAACTCTGAGATGACCAAATATACGGCCAGGGACATCCACTGGAGGAGTTGAGGAGAGCAGCTGTGAGGCCAGCAGAGCTCCCATTACCGGCCGGGGGCACTAGCCCTTGGGCAGAACCACTGGAGACATGGGTGAGGAACACCATGTTAGTAGGAGCCTGGAAGATGTAGAATATAAGGGGCATCTCCACCACCACTTGGAGGCCCTGTTTCTGGATCTTACTGTTATTTTTTTAAAGATTTTATTTACTTATTTGAGAGAGAGAGAGAGAGGGAGAGGGAGGGACTGGGAGGGAGAAAGAGAATGCATGGAAGGAGGGCAGAGGGAGAGACAGAATCTCAAGCAGACTCCCAGCTGAGCTTGGTGCCCGACGTCATGACCTGAGCCAAAATCAAGAGTTGGACTCTTGGGGCACCTGGGTGGCTCAGATGGCTAAGCATCTGCCTTTGGCTCATGTCATGATCCCAGAGTCCTGGGATGGAGCCCTGCGTCCAACTCCTGGCTCAGCGGGGAGCCTGCTTCTCCCTCTCCCTCTGCCTCTCCCCCTGCTCCTGCTCTATCTCTGTGTCTCAAATGAGTAACTAAAATCTTTAAAAAAAAAAAAAAAAAAAAAGGAGTTGGACTCTTAACCGAACGAGCCACCCAGGTGCCCTTGGATCTTACTCTTCTTAAGTAGCTGACAGGAATGAGATTATCAGAGTGAACTCAAGTGTACCGTGTGTGGCCTCAGCATGTGGCTCAGGAGTGGGGATGGGGTAGGATGCCTGACAGCAGCAGAAGAAATGGAAGGCAAGGGTGGGAAGGACTCATCCCAAGACATCACAGCTTTATTAAATATGAAGAATCCAGGGTTACCATCCTTCAGGCTTTTGAGCTCTGTGATCCGCCCTCCCTATCAGATTTTGGGGAGGATATGCAGGCTCTCCAGGGGAAAGATGACCTCTCTCAGGTTGCAGGAAAGCATAGGGCCTCCGGCTCCTTTTGACTCTGAGAAGAAAGGTGCTGGAAGATGCAGACGGGGGGCTCTGTGGGTTTAACCAGAGACCTAGAGCCCACAATGCGTCCTGACCTCTGAAAATCAGGGCCTGCCATGAAGTGCTGATAACTTCATCAAACTTAAATTGCCAAGAACTTTGGAGAAAATGCAGGATGCACAATGATTATTTAAATAGAAAGTCCTGGAAAAAAATTTAATTAGCTCCTTTAGACCAACCAATCTGAACCCATTAATTAAAAGGATTTGGGGCTGTTGCTTAATGGACTTGAATGTGACCTAGGTTTAATTATATCTGAATAACAATCTGCACCGTCTCGGCTGCCCTGCTGGCATCGAAACATCTCAGTACACAAAAAGTAAACATTTCGGGCTAACTCTCCAAAGCCTCACACTTTGAGAATGAAGCTTAAGCAAATACCATACAATTTCTTGGCAATGAGTTTTCTTGTCACGCTAATTAGGATTGCAGGAAATGCACAACTCAGAAACACCAAAATAACAGTTCTTTGTCATTTCTGTCAATAAGCAATTTTTCCTTGCTTCCTGTGTACTCAATACCTGTGACATTATAATGGAGCAGACAGATTACGGTCAAATAGCACTCTTGAGGTTTGAATCACAAGAAGGGTAGGCAGAGAGAGCTCCTCACCAGCAAAGGGTAGCCCTTAAACTCCTGAGTCCCATGGCCTTGGCACACATGGGTGCCTTCACCGTACTAAACTTCCTTCCCCCCCAGTCCCCAGCTTCCCCAGCACTGTGCTACTTACAGACATCCTCAGCATGGAGGCAAGAGACACATCACAAGAATGCATTCAAGCACAGCTTCACTTTTCGAGAGGAAACTGGGCATATTTTATTTATACTTCATCTGGCCTTCAGAAGCCCTGAATTGAATGAGGGTATTCCAGATGACGGAACATCGTCATGGCTGCAACTCCTTCCCATCAATAAGCATTTCTAAACCCAGGGATTACATGCTCTACAATTAAATTTCTGAACTAATACTAAGCAAGAGAAAACGGATGAAGCACCAGAGATTTTATTCACGGCACAGGATTGGGACATTCCTACACGTCCACAAACGGCTCAGTAAAACCACTAGGAGTCTTACCCTGTGTGAAAGGGAGAAACAGAATTGTTCTAAACCCCTAACTGGAGCAGTTAACAAGGAATCCTTTCAACATGGATCAAAGTGGTTCTTAGGAAGACTCCACATGAATTTGGTCAGTTTCCAGTCACTCCTGATGGGGAACATCAAGATAATCCAAAATGGAAGACACGCGCACCACATAAGCTTTTCTGACTAGCGTGACCTAGCTAAATTGGTGGAGTGGCTCAGGAGGGAGTTTGAACAATGAATCAATTTTAGCTTATCCAATAAATTGAACGCTGGCACAAAGTGATCAGGACAATGTGGGAACTGACAGCACAGGGTCTAAATTCAGGCCGACCAAAGTTCAAACCCTGATGGCCTCACTTCCTAGTTCTCTAACTGTGGGAAATTGTTACATGGCTCTTCCTACAGATTAGCTGAGGTCCATTATAACGTATTCTCTCCAGCTATGGGACCTCAGTCAAGGTTACACAAGCTCTCTAAACTGTCTTGTCATGTGTAAAATGGTGCAAGTACTAGTGCTTTATTTCATGGGGCTACTGAGGGGATTAAATGAGATATTTCATGGAAATGATGTATTCCAAAGGTTTGGCACTGAAGTAAATGTTCACTGAACAGGAGTCAGAATCCAGATTCAACTTCATGCAGCTGCACACACACATGACCTTGTACTGTTTAGCTAGAGCTTAGGTGTGCCTGAGTTGTGGTTGTGCGGCTTACAAGATGCCTGGCACCTGCATGTGTATTTGCAAGTTCTCACTATTCCATAAAGTACCTGGACTAAAAAAAAGGGGAGGGACATCCATCAGAAGAGTGAGGAGACATGGGTTATGGTGGCTGCCTCGTGGAAAGGCCAGTCCCATGAGCCATGTACTACTGCTAACCTTGTTTCTTCTTCATATAATGATTGGGAATCCCCCTATTTTTGGTAATATAACTTTAAAAAGAATCTTTATAGCTTTAAACAGAATCCATATGGTAGCCAAGTATGGAGGAAATGTATTCTCCTGAGAGGTGATGCTTTCATGTAGCCTAAAGGGTCTCTCCCTGGACGCGTGTCTGGCCTTCTGCACTCGATGCTTGAAGGAAGAGAATAGTGGCCAAAATCGCTCTCATTCAGGTTTGGCTATACCCTCTCATGGGCTGACCATGTCCCTAACCTAAACTACAAGAAGATTCTCTTGTAAAGAGCTAGAAGGTTTAAAGGAGACAAGACAGTGATATACACCAGGTATGTTTAAATGCCCAAAGGTTGTCAGAATTGGCGGCTATGTCAAAGGCTATTTCCTAGAGACCAGCTCACTGGGTAGGCAGCCAGACTATCCTTGCTACCCAAGTGGTCTTTCATAAACAAAACCCAACACAACACAAACAATAATAACCAAGACCAAAAGTTCACCCACTTCGCTCGTTTGGAAATGCCAGTTCAAAATCCCATGCACTGCAATTTGCATTATAAATGCATTAACTTGGAGATGGGGGGTGGCTAAGAGAAATATCTGGATAAGTTTCTAACAGTAGATGCCAACCATCTTCAGCTGCCCAGCACGAACTGTTTACTATTTACAAGGTGTGAGGCAGCACAACAGGCCTATTCACCGTCACATTAAGGATGGGCTCTCATGGTACTGAGGTCAGAGGGTTCTTGTGACAAGAGCTAACTCACGGAGAGGGCACAGATAAGGGTTAGAGAAAATGGCTAGTACTACTATAGTAAATCTCCATGATCGTGTGCACCACAGTTAACACGGATGCGCCATGTTAAAATGCGGCTGATAATCGGCTCCCGTCCTCCAGAGCAACCTCCTGCTGTTATTTAAGGGACATCACAAGTCACAGTGCAGTGTTTTGTAAGACTAAATGGTTGACCCTGCATATAGCATCACAGAAGTTTTACGCTGGTGTCCCTCTTTTTTATTATTACTACTTCTACCGGTGCACTTTTCACATTGCGATAGGTCCCCAGTTTACCTGTTGGTCTCCTCTAGCACATCTGTGTAAACACTGGTGGGCAAAACTGCCTTAGTCATCCCTGTAGCAAAAATGCCTGGAGTAAGGCCTGGAATGTATTCGGTAGTGAATACACATTTGTCAGAAAAATGAGCAAAAGAATAAATACTAATAGATGAGATCTTTCCAGCAATCAAGTGTCTCTGTGAGGATGAGGAGATGCTGAACATTTTCGTGTGTATTTGAGTGGGCGGATGTGCTTTTGTTCCTGAAGTCAGAGAAGATACCGAATGACCTCACTATCCACTGCATTCTACACACGTACATGGGAGGGCAAGAGGGAGAGAATACGTGTGTACCTAAATTTTTTTCCCATCTGGCTGGAATGGGAGTAACTTTAGGCATTGGCCACGAGGATGAAGCCTCCTTGACTATCTGAGGGCGCATATTTCTGTGTCTGAAATGGAAGATGGAAGATGGACTGCTCCATCAGTTAGTAAGTGCTGGGGCTCTCTCTCACAGGTCACACCTGTGTGATGTGTGGGCAATATGGTGGAGAGGCAGGCATGGGCTGTCAGAAGGACAGTGTCACCCGCTGTGGAAGCCTTGGCGATTTAGGTACGTGATTCATGAGTAAAGCAAGAAATGACTCTTACGGGCATGGTCCCAAGATCCCAGATGGCTAATGGATTTCATCCTCTTTCCTTCATTCTTTATAGAATTAACCGAAGGCCTTCTACAAGCCAGGCACTGTTCTAGGCATTGAAAACATACCTGTAAACAGAACAGGCAAAGCCCCTCTCTCATCACGGAGCTGCATGAGAGTCTGGTTCCATGGGTGGTGGCCACCTCAAGCCCTGGATTTTTGAGAGATTGCTCAACCGCATCCAAGCTCGTGGGGAAAGTCCTGCTTGATGGGGGATCAGACATGGGGATGGGATGGAACAGGGACAGTATACACCGTATACCCTCCAACCCTGCCCAGGCTGCTAGGTGAGTCCCACAGCCAAGCTGATGAGTTGACATGGTAGGGCAACAGGGCTGTCATGACCCGCCCAAGTGCTGGAGGGTAAACGGCCAGAGGCTGGGGTAGCGAAGGGGGTACAGCAACAGCATGAACGGCAGCAGCTTTCCCCCCTTGTTTTCCACAGCCAGAATTTGCTCTCAGCTTTTTACTCTAGAAAGGGAGGTACCTGTTCTGCCTCACTCCAAATGCTCCTCCAGTCTAGTGTAGGATGGGAATTGCCCCTTCTATAAGGAGCTTCTGGTGCTAAGACTGGGGCGGGAGCGGGGGGGGGGGGGAGGTGGGCAGGAAGAGGTTAAAGTTAGGAAGGAGAAGAAAGAAATCACATTAAAAGAGAGGAGGTCTTAACCCCCAAATAAAAACATGCCACTCAGTGCGTGCTTCAGTGGTACTCCTGGAGTCTGCTGGACTGAAAGCCTTGTCTATGGTCCTCTGATAATTAATTCATCCAAATTTATATGCTTATTAGAAGAGTGTTAGATTCAACAACTTCCTGGCTCTTTTAGCCCCAATTTTAGTGTCACACCAAATTCCTCCATCTTCAGAGGCCCCCTGTGGCTGGAGCCAGCTAATGACACGTGGGCCCTTGTGGCCCCACGGGGAGAAATGCTGCCGAGCACGGGGTTTCCTGGGCCTGGGTGCAGGGCTTCAAAGAGGGCTCATAGAGAAAAACAATGAGTGAGGAGCTGATTAAGCATCAATCAGTTCCACCTGTCTCCCAACCTGAAGGCGCACCAGACTCCCTTCCCTCTCAGTGAGTCTGACGAGTGTGCGGATCCCATTCATTCTACCGACCGTTTGCTTCTCCGTATCTCCAGTTCTCAACTTTCAACGTGGATTGGAATAAATCGCTTTTAAATTGCTCAGAGACACAGAGGAAGGAGTTAGAGGGAGAAAGGGTTATAAATGCAAAGCCTGACTGGTCTTTAGTGTCATTATTTCAAAGCCCAGGATCCATTCGTTTCTGTGCCTGCTGCTGCATTCTGGGTATGAGGGGAGTCTCTGCAACACAAGGCCTCATTTTCATCGTATTTGCCAACTGTTTTAGCCGTAATTCCACTCGGGAGTGTTTTAATATATTCCAGTCAGATGAACAGGCAATCCGAAATGGGATCAGTGACACCCTGTGAAGGCACCAGTTTCTCAAGGATAAATATATGCCCCTCACCTCAAAATTCAGCCACAGTCCTCGGCCGTTAGGTGATCTCCCACATCACGGCTCGGACATCACGGGCCTCTTCTCTTTTCCTCCCCGGGACATCAGGGGCCCCAGCTTTGGCCTATTTCCCACTCTCTGATAGGGTAAGTGGATGGTAGGGGAAGTAAGGGTTCTTTTAAAATTTCCAAGGCTGAGTAAGACATTCACAAGGCTGGGTTAATAGGAGTGCGCGAGACAGTAATGACACGCTGTTGAAAACCAGTGCTGCCAAATGTAATTTTAAAGGAGCTTGAGCTTTTCCCACCATCTGATGTGGGGAAAAGTAAAATGAGGCAAATGGCAAAAAATAGCATTGCCACTAAAGGGCCCGGACATTCTAACGATTCTAAAATGTCATCCTGAGACAGAAAAAGAACGGGAAGCTGTGAGTACAAACTGGGGAACGAACACACTTCACTCCTGGGTTGCCACGAACAGTCATTGGACTATAGGTGACCTTGCAAGGAAATGAGATCTTAATTAGTACAAACCAGATCTTTGGCCAAGGAGATAAATAATTTATCTGTTTTATTCATGGCATCACCAAAATGACTTGGAGTAGAAATGATCAAATGCATTCACATACAGAGAAACTGAGGCAGAAAGGAGGCGCATATGCTGTTGGCTGGTGAGTGTGCATTAAGTGTTCTCCAGGTTGGGTGTTTACTCACGAGGATGGTGCCTTTAAGGGCCTAGCAGAGCTTTAATTTTGGATGCAATCAATCAATCAATCAATTAATCCATGAGTTAGGGTCACCTGCCAGGCAAAGTGAGTGACTATGGGCCAGCCAGCCGAACGCGCTAGCCTACTTTCTCCTGATTACGATGAAGTTAACAACGGCACCTTCTCCACCTACCTCTCTGGGCTGTTGTGAGAATCCAACAGGGCAGCGTGTGTGAATATGCTTTCCCAAATCCAAGTGTCACACAATGATGAGAAATCGCTCTTAAGCCACAGAGCCTCTCCCCCACTCAGCCTTCCCCCTACCTTACGAACGAAAACCCCACCAGCCAGCCAGGCCCCAGAACTGAGATAGTCACTGTTGATAACAAGCTGCCCTGTGCCTTAAGGAAGGGATCTCACTTGTTTTCTTCACTCTAATATCCCTTGCACCATGTCTGGCTCTTCAAAGCCAAACTCTGGTCTATTTGCAAGTCCCCTAAGGTCACGTGGTACTTTCCCAGCAGAATTATAGGCAGTGGGGCAAAATGATGCTTTCATCACACGACCAAAATAGTTCTCCATCTAAAACAGTTCATCATCTCCAATAGTGGCTCCCCCAGGTACCTACCTGATGGGGTCTGAGGTCCATCTATGTCTGCGACAGTCAGGCCCTCAGGCCCTCAGGCCCTCAGCGAAGGTTTCCTCCCACTCTTTCCCTGGCAACAGAGCAGCTGGGTGGCTTTGTGGCTCCCTCCGGAATGTGTCTTCTCTGCTTCCACCACATGGCCCTCCCCCGTCTCTCCTGATGCCAGGCCCGCCCTGCCCAGCGCCCATCTCCAAATCTTTCACAGTGCCTTCCCTTCTCCCTGAGCCCGAAGGGACTCTCTCTCCCCCTCCCCCGCTGCCCTGTCTGAACTTCTTCAGGGTCCACTACCAACTTTTTGAATGAGGAGGCGTGAGGAAAAGCCAGTTGGGGGGCCGATTCCTTGAACGGAGCCAGTGGGGAGGTGAGGGAGCCAGGCACCCCAGGCAAGCTTGCTGTGGCAGCCGCTGCTTGATCACGAGGTCTGACGCTGGAGACAGGGCCTTACCTTTCCTGGTTGCCACCATATCCCCAGGCCCTCGCTGGATGCCTGGCACAGCGTGGGTCCTTGGTAAGTAAGTTTTAAACTGTAGCAACGTCCTTCCACGATTAACTTTAAAGCCACAGCTGATCTAGAAAGCCACTGCCTGGAAATGACCTAACGAGTTACTGCAGCATTGAAAAGACAGCGCGAAAGATTCTGACCCCATTTGCAACACGAACAGAAACAGACTGTAAACCACACCACTGATGGATTTTTACAAAAATCACTAAAAACCTACCTTGGTTTCTCGGAGAAGAAACTGCAGGTCTCGTCCACTGAGGATACCGTGGTTTTTCACATAACTGGGAATATTCTTCGTGCTGGAGCCATAAACAGTCGCGTGTACTTCCATGTAGGTGTGAATTATGTCCAAATAGATTTTCTTATTCTAAAGAGGGAACACAAAGGGAAGGCATTTATTTTTTTCTTTTCATTCTTGTAACAACCTGCCTCATAGCTGGAGGCCACAGAGACAGAGTTCTTAATATAGAGGTTGCAGGAATTTGGCATTCCAACCCATAATATTTCTTTCAAAAGTAATCTGACTGGATTTTGAGGGCAAACATAGTCATACTGCCGCTGTACAATTCTGCGAGGAGGAACACATTATGTAGCAATATATTACTGAATACCAATGATAGTTCAAGGCCAAGTGCTTTAAAGTATTATCCCCACTTTGTAAATTACCAGGGACCCAGCACTTCGCATTTGGCTCCTCTGCCCTATGGGGCAGGAAGTTTGGGGAAGGAAAGCTCAGAGAAGGCAGTTAATATTTATCTGGAGATGCTAAGCTGTCCCCAAGGAACGCAAACATCCCCAGCTCTTGCCAGTATTTCTAGTGATGATTAACGCATGTTGTCAGAACTGGATCCCACCTAGTTGGGATGAAGGGGAGACGAGAGTTTCCCACAATATACATTGATTGACTCAGCATCTGGTGAGATAATGAGCATATCCAGGTAGACAAAAAATGGAAAAAAGATTAAATGTAAACTTCAATGAACCCTGAACCATTCAAAAGTAGTTTCGTTTTTATTAGAAGCAAAACAAAACCTCTTTTCTGTACTGAATTTCGAGGTACATTTTCTAAATCAAAACCGCCTGTGAAGTGGAAGTGACTTGTCTTCCCTTCCTCTTCATGTTTCCGTGTGACTAAGTAGCATAAGCTGGATTTTGTAGGTTGCTTTTTCTTTTTTTTTTTAAATTTGAAAGATTCAAGTTCTGTAATGTTTTCCAGTTGTATAAAAGTGGGACAAGTTTTTTTTCTCATTCCAAGCCCATTTTCACACACTCCAGGAAAATGTATTACTGGCCAGTTCTATGACTAGAGACCACAAGGGATATAGGGGTGTGGCACCAGCAGCCACAGAGCTCAGAGAAGGGGAAGGGGCTCTGCCGGGGGGAGGGCGGCAGTGCTTCCCAGCCTCCTCACCATGTTCTGACACGGGTTCAGGGCCTGCCCTCTGCCATGAGCTGCCCTGGTGGGGGATATTACAAAGGGCTCTTCATTTTGTGGGAGGCATGTTTCAAATCACGTATCAGAAGTCTTCATGGCTGGAAAAACAGCCTCGTCCCCTTCTCTGTCTTATGCACCAAGATGATTTTGTTCAGAAGCAACCAAGTCCATGCCTGAACTCTAATATATGCATTAAATGAAACACTTGGCCTGAAAGTTTAATTTCATGCCATGTTTGGTATGGCTGGAAGATGTTAAATTCATCACTTCAGAGATGTGTACCCTTGAATTAATGCAGAGGTGACTGGAAAACAGTTTCTAAACCCTGACTTCCCATTCATAGCTTGAATCAAATTTAGGATCACCTCCATGATATACATTAATTTGGGGGGGTTCTAGGATATGGGTCTTGTGCCAGATGTACCCGGTGATTCCTGTCCCCACAAACCCCCTTCTCAGGGACTCCATCCCCACCCACAGCCCCCTGGTGGGGAAGGAGGGAATTCTGTAATCCCGGCCCCCTGGCACTGCTGACCGGCCCGTGGTGTGTCTGACCCAAGGGGGACCCATCTCTAGGCTGGCCAGGAGCCTGGGACGTGGCCAGGCTCTGGAGGGTGAACTGTTACCAATCAGACCCTCTCTCAGGAGCTCAGAATCCGGTACACAGAGAGATTCCTGCCAGATGGCCATGGGCTATAGAGCAGAAAGGTCACTTGGTGTCAGAGTCTGGGCAATTAGGAGCCAGACACAAGTTCTGAAGAAGGCAGCTGCCAGTTTTGGGGGCCAGAGGTGGAAAGAGAGCCAGGTGAGAGTTGACAGGAGGAAAGGGGAAGACCGAGACAGACTGTTGGTGATCAGAGGGACCAGACAGTGACTGAGACCAAGCATGACCGAGAGGGCATGGGAGGGAGAGGAGGAGGAAGGAAGACGGTGGGAGCCCGTGAGGAAAGCAAGCACAGAGACACGGAAGAGTGAAAACCTGGTCCTGGAGCTGCTTCTGGGTCCCACTCCATCCATAGCTGTCCCCTAGTCCCAATTTCCCAGATTTTTCTGGATCCTTCCAGCTATAATAAAAGCAGCTGCCTTCCCCCATGCCACCCCACACTTTCGCTGGAGCTACTCTGGGTGGATTCCTATCATCCAAAAGGAGGCCTGTTGGGACATCTTGTTGGGCTTTTTTCAGGGACTGGGCAGGCATCTCCCCTTTGAGCAAAAAAGACGGGCTTCCCTATGAAAAGCCAGCTGCTAGCTGGTGAAGATGGACCGAAGGCCCTTGAATTAGGTCTGCAGTGAGGGACAAAGAACAGTGAATGGCCCACCTGGTTCCTGTCCTCGAGGTACTCACTTCAGGCAGACCTAAGATTAGGATTCCCAGACTCAATGCCTGGGGAGTGAACAATATACAGGATACAACACACGTATCGCGGTCAGTTCCAGAAGAGGTGGGGGCTCCTTGAAATATAGCAAGGTGGGGGGGGGAAGTTCAGGCAAATAAAAAGCAGCATATGCAGGGGCTAATAATAAAGTCTGTGAATTTATTAACATGAAGACTTGGTCAAGTCTGAGAGGAGAAATTATCTTCAAAGAGGATTTATGTAATTTCATGAACGAGAAAATCAAACAGCTTATTAGAGGAGAACAAATATTTCCAACGTAACTCTAAGCTTTGAAGCTGACCTGACAACTAGGTGATTCAGCCCAGGCCTCTTGTTACCACCTGTGCAGAGTGCTGCCGACATCGGGTGAGGGTGACTCACACCATGGATCCCAGGGAAAGGTGCACTGGAGTCACCCACACGGAGCTGCCTCCCCGCTCAAAGGTAATGTGCACTGGATGCTACAGGAATCCAAAGAACCAACTCCACCTTAGGACCATTGCCTGCATTTCAGGTTCAAATGTCCGGCTGCCTCCTGAACCTGTCTACCTTGCTGGGCTGCAGGCACTTCCAACTCAACAGGTCAAAAAGGGAATCATCACCTTACGTTCCCAGACCAGCGTCACCCTGTGTGCTCCTCATCTCAGTGACTGACATTAACCTGCACCAGATTCATTAAGTTCCTGCACTAGAATCACCCTTGTTGTTCCACACATCAAAGTAGGCAAAAAGCCCTCTTGATTCTGCCTCCATGGTATCAAATAGGCCTTGATCCTTGCCCACCTTGATGGTGCCAGGATTAATACAACTGGCATCTTAACACATTTCCCTGTGGCTCAAAAAGGTGATTCACCTTGTCCAAGATTTCGACAAGTGAGCAGCAGCTTTGGGACTGACCACAGAACAATCTGTGTGGCTCAACATCACTTTTGAACCATGCAAAGCAATGCTATGCACATGGACATTTGTAGTTAAGTACAAAAATATGCATGGGGATGACAGACTCCACCTTCTGGATACAGATTACTGAGGGGGCAGGGAGGGCTTGGGGAGGTGGATGAGCTTTAATGGTATTTGTAATATATAATTTCCCTGTTAAAAGTCGCAAAATATTAACATCTACATACTTGGGTGGTATTTGATATATTAATCAAAATAGAACGATTTTAACTATATGCAATCAAGAACAAAGAGAAACCAGTCTGTAGGACTTCAAAGCCAGCACCACTGGCACCTCACTGGAAGGCTCAGCTCCCGCCACGAAGAGAGGTTCAAGGGATCCTCTTCTCTCTTCGATGTACATTGCTATCTTTTGGGTTTAAGAAATAGGGTGCTGATGTTTCTTAAAGTAAGCATGGCCCAGCCTGCCTTTCCCAACGCTTGGGCAGGACAAAAGTGGGGAGGGAGATGTGCAGGGATGGGGACGCTTTCCAGCATCTCCCTCCCTTCCTTTATTTTAGATATTCAGGCCCAGGGGGAAAGTGCTACCATGAACTGAGTGTCTTGGATCTTGTTGATCCAAGAACTGGATCACTCCCTAGAAAGCTTTCCCTGTCTGACCTAAGAGACCAAGGTCAAAGAAAATTACCTACTCCTCAAACCCTATCACCTACAAGTTAATGAGATGCAGTCAGAAGCATCTTGCACTATCAAACCCAGGCAGGCCACCACCCCTTTCTGGGGGCTGAGAGAAATGCCTCCAGTCCCAGCTGAGCAACTTGGGAGCCCCAGAACGCTGTTCAACAGCCTCTAGTTCAATTTAAATTCACATTAAGAACAACCAATCAAACTGATTAAAATTCAAATCTACCTAAACTCATTTGGAGCTGGGGGGAAGGGGAGATGAAAAGGCAAAGCAGAGAACATCCTGGAGCAAAGGAGGAATGTTTTCCGTGTGTCTGTGGATGCTTAACGATTGTAGCTGGAGGTGGGTGCATTTTCAGAATTGGTCATAAGCTATCCAGAGCTTGAATAGAAAGCTTTAGAAAAACAATTCAATCTAAAGCAATACTAGTGCACTTCTACAGCAGGGGGAGAGGCAGAAAGCACATGTGGAGAACCACGAGCCCTTTCCTTTCCCAGCCAGTGAATCAGGGGTAGAGGAATGTTCTTTGGCAAATGTCAGTATTCTGAGCTTTTGGTTGCACAGGGCTCTCCTTGCCCGCAATATCCCTGTGCCCCACTGCAGACACATACATCCTTTCTCCTGGACCCTAGTCCCCTCATCCACAGGGCACCTTGTGACTTGTCATTGTTTAAGAGAAATAATTCTACAGCTCTGCCCAGAGTTTGTTGGTCTAGGGAAAGCACCGGGTGTGTGCTGAGCCCGTGGGTATCTTCCCTAGGAAGAAGTGACGGGTGTGGAAGGGCCAATCCCTCCCCGGAGTCCAAAGCTGGCTGCCACATCCAGCATAGGTCCCGTCACATGGAGGTCAAGCTCCCGACAGAGAAAAACGAAGTCCTTGCTTAAAGAAGGCCAAATGCGAGACAGCACGTGTTCTGGTAGGGTCACGAACCACGGTTCTAGTTATGTCTCAGGTGCATCCCGGCCCCTTC